CCCCAAAACCCCAAAACCCCAAAACCCCAAAACCCCAAAACCCCAAAACCCCAAATATAACTTTTTTAATTGAAACTGATCTATTAATTCAGATTTTAGTTACTTAGCCTTAGGACTTCTTCTCCTACCTCCTTTTGGACTCTTGGAACCTTTTGGTATCTTTCCTTTTGGGCTCCTTGGACTTTTAGCTTTAGGGCTTTTAGATTTTGAGCTTTTAGCCTTCGGACTTTTAACTTTTGGACCCTTAGAACTTTTAGGACTCTTTGGCTTATCACTCTTAGGACTACTAGGCCCCATCATGCTTCTCGGACCCTTAGGGCTCTTTGGGCTTTTAGGACTTCCAGGACCCTTTCTACTGCGAGGACTTCTAGTCTTAGGGCTCTTAGGACTTCTCGGGCTCTTTGGACTCTTTGATTTTTTACTACCTTTCTTCCCTTTCGCACCAGGAGATCTTGGACTTCCAGGGGCAATCTTGTTCTTTTTCGTGCTCTTTTTCTTAAGAGGTTTTGATTTCGGACTCCTCGATCGAGGAGATTTGGATTTACCTCTAGGGCTCTTGCTTCTACTCTTGGATTTCTTACTCTTTGATTTACTTCTTGATTTGCTTCTAGGGGATTTGGATTTCTTGCGAATGTTAGTCTTTATGAAAACTCTGTCTGAAGGAAACTTTTCTTCCTCTGAGCTTTCATTTTCCTCCTCTTTGACGCCCTCTTTTGGGAAAAGATCAGCTTGTGTCTTAGACATCGCAGAGGCAGCATTGAAGACATTTTTATCGTTGTCGTATTCGAGTCCATATTTATTTTTGAAGAACTCTTTTACAGTATCTTGCGGAGTGAATAGTGCTTCGATTGATTTTTGATAGATCGCTCCTACACTTTTGTTTGGAATGAACTTGTTTCCATCTAGGGTATGTGTCTTAGCTAGGAATTGAGTTAAGGTTCCTGTTTTATCAATAATTTCATCTTCATTATCGTCTGAGCTGGAGTCAGATTCAACTTCTCTTTCTTTTTCAATTTTTCTTCTTCTGATTATCATCACAACAACTACAGTTACAAGTAGAATGAAAATGATGATAATGGCAATAATCACCATTATCCCAATACCAGCTCCCGACTGAGAGAATGGAATCACTTCGATTTCGAAAGTCTCGCTTGCTGTTCCTCCTTTGCCGTCGCTTGCCGTCACTTTCACTGTAATGTTGCCGATGTCTGAGTTTGTAGGGTTGCCAGCGAAAGTGCTGTCGGTGAACAGCAGCCAGGCTGGCAAGGCTTCTCCACCATTCAGGTTAGCCGAGTAGCTTAGAGCGTCTCCGTCAGCGTCTGTGAACGTTCCACTCTGAAGAGTGTACGAGAACGATAGAGTTGCAGTTGCTTTCTGGTCGGTGAGTGACTGAGCAGCCACAGGGGCATTATTCGGAATTCCGGTTCCAATCACAAGCAAGAACACGTCAGAGCCTGACCCTCCGTACGGGTCTGTAGCCGTGATGGTGATGTTGTAAGCGTAGTTGGCGTCTGGAGTCCCTGAAATGGTTCTTGAGGCTGAGTCAATGCTCAGGTATGAAGGGTTGTTGCTCAGAGAGTAAGTCATTGCGTCTCCGTTCGCATCAGTGAATGTGTTGGCAGCAAATGTGTACGAGTAGGCTACTCCCACAGGTATGGACTGATCTGGAATTTCATTCACAGCAACAGGCGAAATGTTGTTCTCTATGACGATGGTCATGGTTGTGCTTGCAGTAGCTCCGGTCGGGTCAGCAGCTGTGATTGTGATGACATCCCGACCTGCATCTGTTGTAGTCGGCGTCCCAGCTACCAGTCTTGTTGCAACAGTGAAAGTTGCCCAGCTTGGAACATTCGAAGCCGAGTATGTCAGAGTGTCTCCGTCTGCATCAGTGAAAGTGTTCGAAGGAATTGTGTATGAAATAGCTTGGCCAGTCCTAATTGTTTGAGTCGGAATCAAGTTAGCTACTACTGGCTTTCTTGTCACAGAAATGACGAAGTTCTCACTGCCTGTCTGAGAAGTCCCATCAGTTGCAGAGTATTTCAGAGTGGTGCTGCCAACGTTGCCTGATGTGGGGATGCCAGAAATATTTCTAGTCGATGCTTCAAACGTGATCCATGACGGTAAAGCACTGCCATCTGCAAGAGTCAGCGAATATGTCAAAGTGCTTCCAGCAGTGTCTCAAAACTCTGTCAAAATTGAAGTAAACACAAAGTCTTGATACACATTGTACGGGTTTGTGACACCTTCTGAAGCGATGACAGGGTAATACTGAGTGCATACATCTCCGAATGACACACTTGAGTCCGCTAATGAATCACCAGAAGCAGACCTAGATGCATCACTGATTGAGTTCGAAGTAGGAGTGTAAGCTTGAAAACTGTATGTCACTGTGCTAAAAGCTGTCGATGACAATGATGATGACGCTTCGGCTCTTTGTAATGTGCTTCATTGGTTTTGGCCTTTAGAGTCAATTTCAACTAACAATAAATCGCTTGTGGAAGCAGCAGAGAGCCCAGAACTTGTTGTGTCACCGACCATAAGATATTTACCACTGGATTGTAAGTACATTGCTCTGCCATAGTCTTGGATGTCTCCTCCGAGATGCACGATAAACTCATTTGCTCCGGTGCTCGAACTCGCTTTGATCATGAGCATGTCGTTTGATCCAAAAGTCACTCCGGTCGCATCTGTGTAGCCAAGCAAGAACACTGAGGCTCCGTCTGATGATAGAAGAATGTCTTCGACATAGTCGCTTCGTGTGGAGCTTCCGACGTAAACTCCCCACTCAATGGAGTAAGTTGTGGAGTCAACTTTCATCATGATAATATCATCGAAGCCATGTGTGAGCCCTGTTGAAGATGATTGGCCAGCAAGATACAGCTTGTTGGAACTGTCGATGGCCATTCTGGAAGTGGTTTCAGTGTTAGCAGCTCCACCGAGGTATCTAAACGAGCTGAGGGTTCCATCTGCAGTACTGGCTTGCATGAGAATTAGGTCATCTCCTCCTGCTCCAATATCTCCAGCTCCAAAAGCATAAATTATAGATCCACTTACAATGATATCAGAGATTAATTCACTGTTTGTATGTCCGTAGTGTCTACTCCATTGCTTGGTTCCTGTCGTTGAGAACTGAACAAGAAGGAAATCTGCACTTCCAGCTGTCCATCCTGTTGATCCAGAGTATCCACCAACATAAACAGCACTTCCAACAACCTGTATACTTGTTGCAAATTCAAAATTTGCTGATCCGAATAAGGTTGCAAAGATCTTGCTCCCATCTGTTTTAGACAGTTTGAGTAAGAATATATCTCGGTCTCCATTGGTGAGAGTAGGAGAGTTTGTATTACCTGTAATATAGACTCCATCAGTGCTGACAGCAATGTCTCCTGTACTCTCTTCCTCTGTAGAACCCCAGAACTTTCCCCATTGCTGGACATAGGCAGAATTTAGCTTAATAACAAGCACATCTTGTTTGCCATGACTCCCTGCAGAAAAGGAGTTGGCCCCGATGTATATAGAAGAATCTGTGTCAACTAGCATACTTTCTACTGTATCGACACTATCTCCTGCAAACCGTTTGGTTAGTTGCGTAAGATCTCATGTGGCTAAGCCTCTTCTGGCATTCATTCACCTCCGGATATATTCTGACTGAACTGTTCAAATTAAGAACAAGATCAAATATATTTGAAGTTTCATTATTATTTTAAATTCAATATTATTTTTTTATTTAGGGGTTTTGGGGTTTTGGGGTTTTGGGGTTTTGGGG